ATCTGATGATAACAATATATGCAATACATATATTATATGAACATATTTACCCCGAGTATATGTAGTGTGGAATACATGGACTCGTGTATACATAGAGTGTGATACCGACCGACAACCGACGGGGAAAAAAGGTTCTCGAGTGGCAGCCTCGTACCGGCAGGCGAAGCGTAGGGCGACTCCCCACTAGATGGAGTGACGACCTGGTAAGACATGCAGGCAGTAGCAAGGCAAACTAGGGCAAGCCCAAGATATGGTTTTGTTGTTTTTAGCAGTTTTATAAAAATACACCAATCTTGATATGTCTCCCCTCTTCAGTTTCATATTCGGTGCTGTCGAGGACGTGTTTAAAGAAAGCACACAGAAGGCATGCTACTGCTAGATAGATTGTATGACACATCAGCAATTGCATACCTTCGGTGGATTTGAAATAAGCCGTTTGGGTTTGTTTGAGCGAAAGAAAAATATATTTACATGCAATACAATACATGAACAAAAGAAAAGCATGAACATAGTACAAACAAACTATGTACAAAATTTAAAAAAAAATATTTATATTCTAAATCGAATCGTCTCTCTTTCTTAAGGAAAGATTTGATTACGTCCGCGTAAAATGTTGGTGAAAATATATGCATATATATTTCTCAACAAAGTTTAAAGATTTTACCTTTTCCTCGCCGATTAACACACTTCAATTCATCACAAAGAACACTATTATCCTCCATTTTCACTAAATATCTTTAAAAAAGCATAAATTTTCAATTCACTCAAGTAAACACACAGATTAAACAATGAAATGTGAAGTGAACTTGCAAGCGTATCGCCCACGTGCCCCTAACTTCACACCAAAAGCCGGCTCCATACTAATTGCTATATAAACAATCGTAGCTATATTTCATTATAGAACATTTTCCACAGGTTAGAAAGGGAGCGATCGTCTTCTCGAAAGCCCGGTAAAAAGCCCACGCGTGCGAGAGAGACGACTAATCACTCAACTCAACTCCTTTTTTATGACAGCAGTATCGCGCAGTTTTGCCACGACGATTAATGACCTGTGTAGAACAGAGGAGTATGGTAGAACATTTAGGTAATAATATTAATGCTTATAGTTTTAGCATTAATAAATATTTTACATATAAAAAATAATGTCGTCTTTTAAACTTATAGCAATAATATTACAATAATTAATTAGTAACTAATATTGCCTGTAGTTGTGATTGGATGCAGGCAAATAAGGCGTGGCCATTGGTTTTTGTTATTGGCTGTTGTTAGCGCAATAACACTATGCTAAATAATACTTTTATAACCGAGGATATTTTGGGTATTTAACAACTCTTTGCAGTGACCATCACTGTTATATATTTTCAGTAAAGAGTTTAAAGTCATAATTAAGAATACAGAAAGTCAGAAAGTGAATACAGTGAAATACGGTTTAATAACATCGACAAGGGACCAGCCTACTAAGGACTTTATAATTTACTTTAATGTTTAAGTTATTTATTTAGGTTTCTATTTAAAAGGACTAATTAGTAAATAAAAATAATCTGTGTTTGTTTATATAACTCGGCTGAGACGTTTTATTTGAACGTGGTAGAGCAACGCTGCGGCTATATTATGGTCGCAGCACGAATGGACCTGCTCGATCAGGGAAGGTCCAAGCAGTCACAGAAACTTGCTATGCGGATTCATTGCTATGCGGATGACAGCACTGGTGATGCTCTATACACCGGCCGTGCCAATATTTCTCGGGAAAACGTCGCTGAGTACCGGAACAAACTTGTGTCTGAAGTCGAGTCTTTGCTGAACAAAGTCTCGGATTGGGGGCGACTAAATCTAGTCCAATTTAATCCTCAGAAGACACAAGTTTGCGCGTTTACCGCTAAAAAGAACCCCTTGTCGTATCTCCTCAGTTTCAAGGCACTTCCCTTCTTGCCTCAGCCAGTATCGGTATCCTCGGAGTCGACATATCGAGTGACGTGCAGTTTCGTGGTCACTTGGAAGGGAAGGCCAAATTGGCCTCTAAAAAGCTTGGCGTGCTCAGCAGAGCGGGACAGTATTTCATGCCGGCACACCGCCTGCTACTTTACAAGGCGCAAGTTCAGCCTCACATGGAATACTGTTCCCATCTCTGGGCAGGGGCTCCCCAGTGCCAGCTCCTTCCACTTGACCGCATCCAACGCAGAGCGGCTCGAATTGTCGACGACCGAGCCCTTTCCGATCGGCTCGATTCATTGGCACTGCGAAGAGATGTTGCATCCCTTTGCATTTTCTTTCGCATCTACCATGGGGAGTGCTCTGAGGAATTGTTCGGATTAATCCCAGCCGCCAAATTTCACGAACGCACATCGCGGCAGAACTCCCGATACCATCCACACCATCTGGATGATTGGCGGTCCACCACTGTGCGATTTAGAAGATGTTTTTTTCCTCGCACGATCTCCTTGTGGAATCGATTACCATCAGCGATTTTTCCGGACCGATACGACTTAGGGACCTTCAAGAAAAGAGCGTACTCCTTTTTAAAAGGCCGGCAACGCATCTGCGATTCCCCTGGTGTTGCAGTTGTTCATGGGCGGCGGTAGTCACTTACCATCAGGTGAGCCGCATGCCCCTCTCCCATAAAAAAAAAAAAAACTAGTGTAGCATAGCAACTTAATGCTACTATATTTCATATCGTGAGTGAATAATCTACCAGCACCTGTCTTTCAATTCGATTGTAATGGGTGTCTTGAAGGTAAAGGTGAATAGGCTTCTATAAAGCTAAATCAATGCGCTTTATCATCTTCGGCTGCATTACCGCTTTCATAGTTCTAGATGCATCTTCTCTGAACGCTTTATTATGATAAAAGCGACTTTTGCTATTCCACAGCAATTGTTTTGAACTAGATAATTTTATCAATTTACAACTCTTGTTATCCATAGCTCGGATTGCAGTGAACACACGAATGATAAAAACAACCGTCCCAACTGGCGCGCGCGCCAAAGCTTAAACTACTTTGATACGCGGTAAAAAACCGACACCAGCACGGCTAGCATGAGCTGGGGATAAAAATTTTATCCCCCGATTACATCCACTGAAGAGATAAAATTATCTTGTCCCTATGCCAAAGCACGGCAACAGGGAGAAGTATATCCCTGTTTGACATAACGAGTAGACATATATCCCCCGTCCGTAGCATGGAGCCAAATGAAAGATAAAATATAATGCTTTTTTGACATTTGAAAGGGAAAATTCTCTCCTAGTTTATTAGACATGGGTACAACATCATACAAAAAATCTATCTCAGTCTAAGTCTATCTCCCATTTTATCTACTGTGGATATTATATCCACCGGATTGCCCATGCTCGAAGGGTGGATAAAACTAAGCGAGGGGATAAATATTTTCTCTTTTCCCCGGGGATAAAATTGTCTCCTGCCCATGCTAGCCCTGTAGGTGGAGCGGCCCGCTCTACTTCCAACGATCAATTTGGCACGCGTTCCAATGCGGTATCCATTTCGCATGGCTGGAACGCGCGCCAATGTTCGACCTCTTGGCTTTTGGAGCGCATAATCGATACGCAGCTGTACGCGTGGTATTTATTACGATTGGATTTTGTGGGTTTTAACTTTTTGCACGAATCCTTAACTCTTTTTCTATAATAAAAGTAGCCTCCGTTATTCCTTCTAACGTCAGCTATCTACCTGTGTAATTGTTGTCAAAATCCGTCAAGCCTTTTTTGAGATTAGCCGGAAGAAACATGCAGTAAAACAGACAAAAACTTTAAAAAATATCATTTTGTTATAAATACCGTATATACTTTCATATGCATTAAGTAAAAAACTATTGACATTGAAAACAGACACTTCAATTTTATTTATTTGTAATCATCGAGGATAGATGTAGTAGCAATGGGTCAAAGCATTAACTTACTATTTATTAGATGGACTGTTTACTCGTTTGTCAAGCTTATACTATAAAATCGTAGCCTTTGCGTCGTATTAAGTTTCGAATCTATTTTGGCCTACAGTTCTTAGGTAAACAATTTACGAGGGCTAAACCGTCGATCAGATGTCGCTATTAGACATAATATGTCAATGGTGATTGATACTTTAATTTGACCCGGGTCGCATAAATTTTTTGAACATTCCAAATCAAACGATTGATAGGACCTACGACCAAAAAGTATAGTATTGTCCGATGACCGACATTATCTAGGGGGTCTCACAGATCACAGATTACAGAAACTCTAAAAGATCCATTTGAATGATCGTCCTGAATGACCCGGTTCGTAAGACAAATCAATAATTGAATGATCGGGTCACTAGAAATGAGTGAATGATACATGTCTAGTCGCTATTAAGGCGACGCCGCGAAAAAATGCACATCCTTTCATCGGATAGTATAGGAGTATGACACGACTAACGAAACTAAATTCATGTCTTTATCTTGAGTTTGCTTGCTCAAAAACACGATTGTAAAATTTTCACTCGATCATAATTATTTGCGAAAACACCTCCAAAAATCACTATAGTTGAAATTACAACGAAAATACTTAATCTATATGCTTGGGAACCACTCCAATACATTCATAACATCAATATTCGTAATTTACTTGCTCATTATTTTGATTACTAAAATAAATAATTTTTTAAAAATATTTTAAGATTCTAAGCGATTTCTAAGCGGTCTGAATCGTCGCGGGCGCTACGCAATTTTAGACCTTTTGACGGCGTTTTTGAAGTTTTTATAAAAATTATGTTTCACTCGGGTCAGTCTGGCGATAGCCCGCTTCAACTGTTTTCGATGTGTCGCCTTAAAAGATATTATTCTGCTGTGTTCCGGTTTGAAAAACAGCCGATGTAATTACAGGCTGAGAAGCATCTTAGCACTCAGCGTACAATGCATCTGTGCCCTTCTTTCTGATGTTGGTTGCAGATGTCTAAGTGCTGCATTTGTCACATGCCTTCAAATTCTGTAAGCTGGCCTATCCAACCTTATTTTTTTTTGAATACAAAAGCTACTTACTTATTTCGTCAACATCGTCAGAAGCTTCCGAGGACTTGTCTTCGATATTCTGAAAAATAAAACACATATTTAATACACAAAGTCAAAGAAAATGGATGTAGATTGACAAAAAAAATATGTACACCCAGTAAGATTTTTGATTCAGAAGAAACTGTGTTGAGGGTTTTAGTCAACAACATATGATCAAAAATACAAACAATATTTTTGAATGAAGATAGTTCTTATACGTTGACAACCTGATAACGCAGTGGAGAAGTATTTGGTTGCGGTGTTAAAAGGCGGCGAGTTCTTGTATAGGCTACAAATATTGTATACCGACTATACGTGGTTGAACCACGCTGCAGCTATATTGTTGTGGTTGTAGCACAAATGGGTGGACTCCACTGGGGTAGGACCAGGCTCTCACAGAATACCAGCATAAAATAGCAGCTTAACACTGCTGTGTTTCGTATTTTGAGTGTATAGAATCGGAGACCCTTTTTACGGGAAACGAGGCATTCCATCTGTCCTCAGGGGTGACAAAGCATGTGCATTTTGATTCATAATTGAGGATAAATGTAGATGTCTAAGTACCACAGCATCCACTTACCATCCATCAGGTGGACTTTGTGCTCGTTTGTCACCCATATTTTATAAAATAAAATGTTGCTGGTCTAGAAGTCTACTGTGGCAGCCTATCAAAAGTCCTCTGCTAAATATAGGTTTCCCCGAAAGACTGGTTTTAATACGTAGCAACCACAGATTTGTTTTTTAATTTTTAGTTGTTATAGGAAAGGCGCTGCTGCCTATCTCTGGTTTGTTTCCCTCTGTCGCCTCATACGACACCCACAAGACGATATGTGGTAGTGGATATTCTTACAAAGCCACTACACGGTGAGTCTGTGAGTTTTACCATCTGCAATGAATGTAAAACTCCTTTACGATACTGGAGAAAATCCTAGTGAAAGAGTTTTTTTTTAAACACAGCGTTTATAAGTTACAATGTCATAGATTATTAACAAAAGTCTGTATACATTCTGTGCCTTAGATATTTTAGTTTAATGAACGGAAAAGCTGTATTCACCATCATTGCTTACTCACGTTACAATCCATTAAACCACGAAACAAAGGATGTTAGCTAGTTGGCATTCACATGTTACCGAGTTAATTAATAGAGCCAGGAATTCGTTACAATCGAATCCTGCCAGTGAATACATTGTGTGTCAGAGTCGCTAATGGAAGCTATGCGAAGAAAGAAATAGGTAAGTGAATCGGTTGCAATGTTTATGCTTTACTGAGAATTCTTTTTGGTCTCTTGCCTATCTAACTTTGAATCAAATCATTATAACACAATGTCACATAATTGGTTTGTGTTTTGTGTGGTAAACAGAAGAAGTGACAATGAGTCTTCAGCGTTTGATCACTCATAAACGTTCTCTTTTTAATAATAACTTAACTGATTATAACTTAAATTTTAAATTTAAAAAAAAACCGAAACAAAAAGAGCTGATGATCTTCAAACCGCTGAAAAGGTTTTGATAAAAGCATGTCTGAGAACCACCGCTAGAAAACCTGTTTTAAAGATAAAAAAAACCTACAACCAAGTTTAAGTTTAAGAGCTACGGTGCCGCAGACAGACACATATAGATAGACAGACACACATAGCGGTCAAAGTTATAACACCCCTTTGTTTGCGTCGGGGGTTAAAAATTGTTTTCAAACATGCGGTCACTGGCATGCCACAAATCCAAGCAACTACTTTTATACGTTTATATAAGAACTATAACACAGCTTCATTATAAGTTTTGAAAATTTAAGCGAGAATGGTCGCTAACCAACTTTGAATCGTTATGGATCCTAAATGATCATTCAAAATGTAAAATGACCAGAGAAACCTAAATATGATTTTCAAAGACCTAATCAATGATACCTCACTTGACATAGCACTTTTTTCTTTTAAGCAATATGACATCTGGTTGCCGCCATATTGAATTTTGATAACTGTCCTGTCATGTCTTTAGTGATACTCACAAGATTAAGACAAATCGATTGACGTAAGAATCATCAAAATCGGCCCACGTGTTTAGTCAGTAGGGTGCCACAAAGGAACAAACAATACATACATAAATATACATGTATAGGCTGATAAACACATTACCCTCCGCACTCGTGTAAAAATGCAAGTTACGTGTTATTATTTCCTGCAAAACAACAAATTCGGGCCTGGTGAGTGAAATTCCACCAAAAACATAAATATAAAAAGAGGGAAGAGTTCGCTATAAACGACGTTCAGGGTTGTCGGTTTCAATGTTATAAGAGTTGAGATACGAACAACGCCTTAAATGTTTAATGTCAAAAATTAACATCCTGCCGGGGCGTCGCACTTTCCTTTTCATAACTTGGCTAACAGACTGCCATGTGCCTAGATATTGACCCGACGGCCCCACAAGGATGGTAAAGTTTCTCGAGAGTATGTTTGTATGTATATTTCTTTGGCACGCTCTTTAGCCTAAACGGCTCGTGTCGTTAGATTCGTCCTTATTGTAGAAGTGATTTAGGATATATATTTATATATTGCATACGCAAATACAAAAAAATGATAGGGGAAGGTTTTTATTGCGCAGTCGGGTTTTTCAAATTACTGTTTTGACCATTTTGCTTGTTTGATACCAGTTCCTATGAGTGATCACATTTGATTACAACCTCTGTATGGATACGAGGCATTGCATCTTAGTCTTCAGGGATGACAACGCATCTGCGTTTTGATTCTTAATATAGATGTAGACGTCTATGTAACACAGCATCCACTTACCATCAGGTGGGCTGTACTCGCTTGTCACCCGCATTTTATAAAAAAAAAAGGCGGTATGGCAATCACAGTACCAAAATTATCGCACCTTTGAAGCTACTTTCCCTCGATGGTCTCTATGTTTCTTGTTACACCGCCATATATCGCAGGGTGGTTATACTAAACGAACCGACAACTATAGGGAAGAAGGTTTATAGAGTGATAGCCTCGTTGCAGCAAGCATGGTATAGAATAGGACGGCCCCCACTAAATGGTATGACGTCCGGATTAGAATTGCAGAAAGTTTATGGATGCTGGTGGTTCAGGATTGTGATTTGTAGCATTACTTGGGCGATGCCTATGTTGGACTTGCGAAAGGCTGTATTTGTGAATATATTGATGAAGTCTTCCTAACGACTCCCAGGGAACGAAATGGGCGATAGATTCTTCAACCCACTATTAAATATATAAAATTATTTTTTAGAGAGAACTGTAAATAAAATGAAAAGGAGGTAGGCAACTTATCTTTAATTTCGATTCTTTCTAAAGTAGACTGGTAGAGAAACGAGATTTTTTTTTCGGCTAAATATACCTTTTGTGAGTATGAAATAAAAGTAGAATACGAAAATCTAGCTGTAATTTAACTTTTTCCACGATAAAATCGAGTTCTATGTCAGATTTCAATAAAATGCATCCAAATAATTCAAGCATGATTAGAAAAAACATCCAAACAAACATATTTTCACATAATAATATTTCACATTGTGTATATATATACTACATGAAATAAATAGTTTACAATAATTTACTTTTAATATTTTTTACAAAATTATTAAATTGGCAACTCTAGTCGATATCATTAATATTAGGTCCTTACATATGAAATTGGCGTTTGTACGGGAGGAATATAAAGTCAATTTTTTTTTTGTAAAATATATTTAATTAATCAAAGTATGCAACATTATCTATGAACTTTTGCCATCTCATAGGTAGTTCATTGATCCCTTTACTAAAAAATGGGCGAGCCCCCACGGTTTTTGCATGGTTTTTACGTGTTTGCAAGTTCGGTTCACTCAATTCATGAGTCTTTTTACTTTCCCGATTTGCTTCAAGTGGATTATTATAGAATAAGTAATAACTGCCGAGTGAATCGTTCGATGTCAGAAAGTAGATTAGGCAGGCAGTTACAAAAATAAGTGTTCCTATGTGTACTGCCTATATTTCAGTTTAGTCGAATATTCTCAAAACCCACTAGTTTCTTTTCTTTATCAGCCTTCTTGAGGATGCGCTATTGACGGAGGTATGTTGATTTGCCCATATTCATCAATCAGGCAAGCGATTAAGTCAGCGTAGCTCCAGTGATTTGTGGTCGATCTAACTTAGGGTTTCTGCCAGTATCTGTCGACCGAGCTGCATTCCTCTATTAGCATGATATAATTTATCTTTTTAGATATTTGTTTTAAACAACTCTGAATAATGTTATTCTAAATTAAACAAATATATCAATTACCTCCCTATGTGTGGCAAATTTGCCATGATAGCCACCTATCGGCTAGATCCATACTACAGCCTAAAAATACCTTCAGTCCATCCATTTGCAGTGTCTAAAGACAAGAATTGAATGCGTTATAGCCCCTAACTTCAAAGTTTTCTTATTGGTACTTAAGCCCTCTACAGTCACCTGCGGGACCTGAGCCAGCTACAATGGAACGGAGGTACAATTTTAAATAATACGATTGGCGGATATGCAGTATCAGTTGTATTGCATCTTCGACGTCACATCCCATCGCAGCGTCGTTCTGGTTACATTACATGAGATTTTACCATCTATCAAAGGCCATAAGGTCTTTCTGGCTTGTCCCATCTGATAATCCAGCGATGCTCAGTACGTTTTTAAACCAAGTTCTTCGATACAAGATTATTTACTCATATATCTGTGTAGGTATGAGTAATCTGATCAGAGTCCTATCAGGGTAGTGAGGACTGCGGACCCCAGCTCCTGCAACTTATCTTTCGCGAGTATACGAGTATGTTGAATATGCGGTGTAGTTTCACCGTGTGTGACGTGACGTGGTGCGACCACGTGTGTGTCTACGATCTCTTACGCCAAGACACTACCACACGATACTAACATATTTACTACAAATTATCTTCTCCGTCAACCAATAAATCCGACTAAATAACTTCAGTGGAATACTATTAATATAAAACGCTACTATGTATGTACACATACAAAATTAATTCCTTAGGCACAGTAGAACCGTATTTAATCTTAGGACTTT